ATTTGTTATATGTAAGTATATGTACATATGTATGCATGTATGTACACACATACAATTTATTTTGCTATTTTTAAGTCCCCGCAGATGCATTCGATTTTAGAAAAATACAGACAAATGTTTGTTAGTTGGATGTTATTGCACTCATCCTTGATTGTTATTTCTTATTGCTGGTATTAGGATGAGTTTTATTTTTAGCTACATATTTTAGATTATGACAGACTCATTAGGACTATTTGTAATAACTATTACATATATGTAATTTGTATTCTTGTACATTCCTGTATACTTTTTAGCTTATTTGAATGGTTGTATAAAATATTATATAATTGAGTTCCAACTATATAAATGCCATTGACAACATAATAAAACATTGATGTATATAAATTGGTACTAGGTTTAATTATAATACATTTATAGTATACTTTATTTGTATAGCTTATGGGTTGATACCCTGAAAATTCGCCTACATGCTAAAATAAAATGAGAATTGATAACAGACTAATATAAACAGTAAAACATTGCATAAAAATTTAATATTCTTTTTGTATAGTAATAATTAAATTAGTAGAGTATTCCATTTTGCCACTTACATCGATTGGATGCTGTTACGAGTTTTTTCGTTGGCACAACCAATTTACTTTTAGTTAAATTTTTTTTTGTGCCATTTAAATATTTTACTTTATTAGCGCTTTTTCTGTCCAACGGCTCCATCGCCAATGAAAATATGTATGTATGTATATTCAAAATAAATTATGTACCTAAAGGAAAATATGTACTAATGCGCATTGCGTAAAAGTGTAATGTTGTATGGTATTGATGAGCCTATTGTTTACCCAAAAATTTTACTAATTTCTACGGAATAACATTATTTTTTAATAATTTTTAAAATACTGGTTATCTGACTAACGTTGTAGCGACGTCAACCATCCGCAGAGTGCTGAATTTTATTTCCATGCTACCTAATCTTCGGAAGTTGGTTTAGAGGTGTTCGAATTATCGTCGCCTTTATCATCTATTTCACTGCCAGCCTTACTTTTTGAACATTTTGGAGGTGTGTTACGCGAGCTTAGCATATACGCACGCATACGAGCTTTATGTTCCAGCTCATTTTGTCGCATACGTGCACCATGTTCTTCGCGCATTTGACACAATTTTAACTCTTCATTTTTACGATAGTAACTGAGTTTAAGCTCTTGATGCATTGTCTCGAAATTTAATCTTTGTTCATGCTCGATTCGTGCGTGCTCAATCTCTGCTAAATGAGAACGCTTTATTAAATCGAAAATTTGCTTTTTATATTTTTCATCGGTAGGTAGTATCTTATAGATTATGTCATCAGCATTCAACAGCAATTTGGACGTTTGCGCATCACTTTCGCTGGTTCCCGGCACTGCCATTTCGTCTGGTGCGGTCTAACGGAATGTAAAAGATTTAAGGAAAATTAAATGTAATGTATTCATTTTATGTATTACCACTTACGCTGGACAGGTTTGGAATTTTATCTTTGAAACGCCACACTTTTCTTTGAAATCGCTTTATTAGTTCTCGTGCAATAAGCGTTTTTGTGAAGCTCTAAAAATTACAACTACAACATTTGAACATAGCCCCATACCTTAAGGTAAGACGTATTCTACGTCAAAAATATCTTCTATATTGTTTGAGAAGCTCTCCTACCATAAAATAAATAATAAATAAATAGGTTTCGAACATAGTTTTTTATTTAAGGTGCCGTTTTCATTTTCTCTCTCTCTCTGACATCGGGATTTATTTTAAAGGACTTTGTAATTTCAAAGATATGATTAATTTCAAAAAATTATTTAAGAAATTCAATGCAATGTAGAATAAGAATATGTGTACCAAATGAAAGAGGAAATTTCTTTAAAAATAGAAAAAAAAAATTTGTTTGGATTCACAAGGATGAATAGGCAATTTTTTAAGCTAACAAAGTTAGAAGGACGGTATTCGAAGTTGTTATCGAGTTTATATAAGTCCTTAACATATAATTTTTTCAAAAACAAATATTGCAAAATTTCCAGGATAAAATTTTAAAAGGACATTTTAAATACTTACCAGTCCTTCTACACCAAAAGAATTAATCTGCTTAAATTCTACATGATTTCCTCTTTAATTTGATACCCATACTTCTTCTTTACGCACATTTCACTGAATTTTTTAAATCATTTTTTGATTACTGACGTCAGTGTGAAAAACTAAAAATGCAATTTTACTATATTTGGCCCATGGTTTCGCGAACATATTGATTTTTGTGTGTAAAATTTACTACCGCACGGTGTTATATGTATGTCTAATGTGCTAGACATTTATAAAAAAAATATTAGTTATTAAATAAATAAAAAGTATAGTCAATACTGGTCAAGAAAAGGAGTTTCTATTATTGCCATTAGTGCCAATTACAAATCCCGAATATCCAGGAATTATTTGCCAAGAATCCTGGGATTTTCGGAAACTAAACAAGGCCGGGATCCCTTGACTAACATTCCTAATAAACACACTGCAATTATGCATGCATAGAATTTTATTGCACTCGCTGCATTACTGTACAGTAGTTGCACTCGAATGCAGTAGTGCTTGAAGCAAAGTTTTGTTTCACTATTTGCAGTAGCCGTGACTTGACAGTTTTTAACAGTAGGTATTTGAAAGCTCTAAGGAAGTGAAGTATAGCAAAATTAGCAAATGTTTTGATTGCCCCTTTCAAAACCATTTATGCAGCCCTCTAGTTAAAAGCAAACGTACGTACTCCATGGCGTATGAGTTACCCACCCGAAATGAGAATGTTTGCTCTGGGCGAAAGGAATTTAGGGCCGGTTACTCAATATCTGGTTAACACTAATCTGCGGTTAAACATCGTTATCGACGTCTTCGACTCCATGCATACAACAGGGAGTCGGTAACGTCGATAACGATGTTTAACCTGTAGTTAGTGTTAATCAGACATTGAGTAACCGGCCCGTAGAGTGGAAGGCCTCTTGACTCTCAAGAAAGCCTTTTGGAAGGACTTTTAGCTACTGATATTATCTACTGGATATGTGTGTATGTTTTATATGCATATACATATGTACATACATTACATGTATGTACATACATATATCTTCATACATACGGAACCGCGTCATCCTTTCGATTGCCACATACTGCGGAGTAGCATGAATGAAGGAAAATAAAAATGCAGCATCATTCGGCATTTACATACATTCTTATATACGCAGGTGTTTATTATGCAATTTACTTTTTTTTTTATGAATACGCATTTATACACTGAACAGTTGTACATACATAGATATATACATACATACATATGTACATAGAATGTACGTGTGCACGTGGCTGCGTCTAGATGTGCATTTGATTTTAAGTGCAAGTGCGTACACAAGAATCAAGGCGCGTGTGTATGTATGTACATGGAAGGATGGCATCAAGTACTCTTGTTGTGACCTTGATTGAGGGAAAGCCCGTGCGTATTGTTCTAGGCTATTTATATTAAAGGACTGATGGGAGAGCAACAAAACCAACATGTGTGTGTATGTATGTATGTATATACTTACATGAAAATTGTAGGATGAAATATGTATTTTTCCTTGAAGAAATCAGATTTTCTTATATGTATCTCAAAACTCCATTGAATAACGTACTTAGTCCGAAAAAATTTCGACACTATCTTCTCCAAAGCTCAAAATAACCGTATTATGTCGGTAGAGCAAAGATCCA